CCCCCTGACCCCTCTCCCCGCAGCCGCGGGCGCCGGGGCGCTCGCCCACCGGTGGGATGACGCCGACTACCTCTTCAGCAGCGACGCTGCCCACCCGGACACCCGCAGGTGGGCTCTGTCCCCCGACTGTCCCCCCGCGCCCCCCGGGGGGGCACAGCCCCGCTGAGTTCGCCCCGCCCGAGCCCCCTCCGCGTGAGCCCTGCAGGGAGCCAAGGGGCAAGGAAGGGGCACTTGAAGGTTTTGATGGATTCAATGCGAAGGATGTAACGGCCTTCAAAAGCCAGGGGGGTGTTTTTGAAGTGCCCAGCACAGGTCTGCTGGGGTTTTACTGCTCAGTGGGGTCTGAAAACCCATACCCGTGCTAAAGCAGAGCTGGACAGACCAGAAAACAGCTGCAGAAACCACCCGGGTGTTAGGCTGGCTCAGCTGCCACGTGAATCAAACTGGTGGTGCTGTTTTTCTCGCTGCGTTTGAGCTGATCTGCTGGAAAGCTCAGGGTCTAAAATAGAGTTGGTACCATCCCTGAGGAACAAACCCAGTGCTAAAAAGTCAGCAAGAGTTAACTCTGAGAGCAGGCACAGGGGTAAAATGGGCTGGGAAAGGGTCAAACTGCTACTTTCCTTCTGCCTGCTTAATACAAAATATCAAAGAGCTCAAAAACCTTGGTACAAATACAAGGAAAGGCTGTTCAGGCTCTTCCTCCAGTGAGTATTTATATATATTTAATGCCATGTTAACACGTGGAAGGGAATGGCAGTGTTTTCTCCCAGTGCTCTGCAGCCAGCTCTGCTGAGCTGGACTAAGCAGCTTTTTTAACACAAAATTGCTTAAAACTCACCTAGATTTTTGTCATCCTTCAGCCATTCATGGGAGGGGAATCCCAAGAAACCTGGAGTAACGACATTCCTTCCATCAGGGCATCCCACCAGACTGGCTTGTTCCCCCAGGGGGAATTATATATGATTTGATACCTGTATATTCAATGTATAGATTCAGATGATTTCCTGGGAGGACGGTGAGCACTTGAGCATCCTCCCTGGCCCTTCCTCGCTCAGCTGGGATGCTGCTGCTGGTTGGAGACTGTGCCAGGAGCCTGAGCATGGACCTGTGGGGATAAGAATAAACAAACAAAAATATTTCCCCCCCTCCCGGGCCTGAACAACAGGTCTCATCTCAAGACCAGAGTGCAAGGAGCTGCTATTTAACCCCTAAAAATACACTTTTACCTGATTCCCAGAGTCCTAGGCTCCTCTCAGGAGGTGCTGGCAGGACCGTAACGGGATGTTGCTGGTAGAGCCTCCTGGTTAGAACATCACAGAGAATTGGGTGCTCGGGGTGAAAATGTCACAGCAGCTCAGTTTTAACAAACCAACATCCCCCTGAACTTTGTGGTTTGTTGTTCGTTTTGGTTGATTGTTTTTTTTCCAGGTTTTCCTTCGGAAACCAGCCGTCTTTTTCTCTCCCAGGATACACCAGAGCCTGGATTACTTGGAGGGCAGAGCTACAGTCTTTCACTCCCAGTTCCTCTCAGCCTGGGCGCGCAGCGGCGCCGGAGCGAAGCCCTCGCTGGTTCTGGGCCACTTCATCCTGCCCCCCGCCTGCCTGCAGGAAGGTCAGGGGGGAAAAACATCAGGGTTTGGTTCCTCCAGGAGTTCCTCCATGAGCAGAGCCTTTTGGGGGTGCAAACCAGAACCTGCAGTTACTTCTGCTTTAGCTAGAAGGAATTTCCTTCCGTTGGGGGTGATTCTTCCTTCCTGGAGGCAGAGGAATTAATATTTCGTTTTTGATATCATGTTATTCACCTACAGTGAGCTCCTGTCAGGGCTCCTGAGCAGTTTCACTGGTGCCTGTGGGAGGCAGGGGTTTGCACAGCTTCATCATTTGATGCACTCATAGTCATTTTATTTTTGTCCATGGCAGAAATCAGGAGAAAAATCGGTTGTTTTATTTGGGAGAACATGGATCAGTCACTTGCAGAACAGGTAAGACGAGACATTTAAAATACAAGAAATGTAGCTTAAAAAAATACCAATTGCATGGTTCTCTCTCTGGGAGCTTGGCTCTCACCACAGGCCTCAGCCCAAATACAGGATCAAATCTTCTTGTGCTTCCACTGTGTGTGTCCCTCCCAGTGTGACACCCTGGGTGGGCAGCTCTGGACTGAGCATGGAGGGATTTTCTGCCTCACCCAGATGTCCGGTCTCCTCAGCATGTCCTTCTGGGGATGCCAAGGCCTGAGCTCAGCCTCTTCATGCAGCATTTTCCTGCCCTGTGCAACTCCAAGACACTCCCTGCTCCCTTCTCGAAGCAACTTCTCAGCACTTTTGAAGCAAAAACGTGATTAGATTTAGAACTTTATTCTAGATTATGCTTGAAATCACAACTCCTAAAAATACATCTCTCTTGGACCACCTCTCTAGGGCTTCGGGGGTACCCAGGGCAGAGTTATAACCCAACTCTGCTTTGATATTTGCAGCCCGATGAAAATCTGATGGATGAACCCAAGGCTGAGAGAGAAGCCAGTGCAGAAGGAGCAGAGGATGTGCTAGACCTGGCTGGAAGGTATTTTCCTGCCCTTGCAACAGGAGTTAGACCCGCTCCCTGTATTTCAAGAGATCCCCAAAGCACAGGAAACAACTCACAGATTTGGCCCTTGTGGCCACGAAAGCCAATGGTATCTTGGGGTGCATTAAGAGGAGCGTGTCCTGCACATCAAGGGAGGTTCTCCTCCCCCTCTACTCACCCTGGTGAGACCTCACTTGGAGTGTTGTGTCCAATTCTGGGCTCCCCAGTTCCAGAGGGACAGGGATCTAATGGAGAGAGTCCAATGGAAGCTACAGGGATGATGAAGGGACTGGAACACCTGCCTGATGAGGAAGGGCTGAGAGACCTGGGGCTGTTCAGTCTGGAGAGAAGACTGAGGGGGGGATCTAATTAATGTCTCTCAATACATGAGGGCATCAAGAAGGCAGGGACAAGCTCTTGTCCCTTATGCCCTGTGACAGGACAAGGGGCAATGGATTCAAACTGGAGCCCAGGAAGTTCCAGCTCAACATGAGGAAGAACTTCTTTGCTGTGAGGGTGACAGAGCCCCGGGACAGGCTGCCCAGAGAGGCTGTGGAGTCTCCTTCTCTGGAGACTTTCCAGCCCTGTCTGGATGCCTTTCTGAGTGATCTGCCCTGCTCTGGCAGGGGGTACTTGGTATTTGGAGGTCCCTTCCAACCCCTAATATCCTGTGATTCTTTCCCCCTCCCTGATGCAGCAGTGAAGAAGAAACTGTGTCCAGACCACCCAGCCAGGGGGAATTTCCATACCGTGCCCTCCAGGAATACCCGGTGAACAACATGGTGACAGGTAACCTTTCAAGTTTTCGGGAGTGGAAACTGCCTGAAAACGCCTGGGGTGCAGAGGGGCCCCCGCCGCGCGCTCCTCGCTGCCTCCCGGCGGGCACTTGGAGCAGCAGCAGCGCTGAGGGTGCGACTGGAATTGCTCCTTTCCCATCTCTGCTTCCCGTTTCCCAGCGTCCCCGTGCGGCCGGGGGGCTCAGGGCTCCCCCAGACTTTCCCTCCGCAGGTTACGCCTCCGCTCGCCACATGAGGAAATACACGGGGGAGCTCCGGGACTTCACTCCGGGCACCTCGGGCTACGCCGTGTTCTGTGTTCAGCGCGGGGTCGGCATCTACCGCCCCCCCAGGGCTGAAACCAAGAGGAGGTTCTGAGGGACAGGGCAGGTTGGCACCACAGGGCTCCCGGTTGGAAGTTCAGTCCCGTGGGGAGATGCTGGGATAGCTCCCCAGTCGCTCTCCTGCGGGTCCATGGTTAGTTTAGCCCTCAGCCTGTGTCCTCCCCAGTTTTAGTTAATTAGTGAAGAGATTTGTGGTATCGAGCTGCAAATTCAGAGTCAAACCTGTACAGTAGTGGGGGGTTATAAGTTATCCCCACCTGGCTTATCCTGACAGCAGCTCAGCCCATTCCATGTGTGTTTAAAAGATACCTGGCTACGTTTCCTGTAAACATTTTCTTCTTTAAGTTACAGGTTTCATTAAAAAATAAAATAACAGACTTTTCTACCCAAAGCTTTGCCCTTTTGTTTGCACTGGGGGGTTTGAGATGTGTCTGCCAGCAGTTGTTTTCCTTGGAGGGACACACCGAGGTCTCCTGGAGGGGACAAGTCACCCCACGGCCTGCACCTGTGGTACCTGCTCACCAGTGGGACCCCCCGTTGGTGGTGCTGGCTGACACCAACAGCCAAGGTGGGGACCTGAGGTGTCCTCTGCCTCCAAGCACAGCCTCTGCACACCAGGACAGTCTCAGGGGCAGGGCTGTGCCCCAGAACTCTCCCATCCCTGCTGCAGCCTGGGAAAGTTGCTGGATGAAGCATCTTGGTGGGGGCAAGAGGGCAGAAGCCTCACCAGAGCCCCTCTCCACGGGAGACCTTCCTCCCCCAGGCCCTGCTTAGCCCACTTCACTCACCTCACACAGAGAATCTACCAGACTTTTTCCACCTACAAGCCCTGGGGAGGCACCATGGTTGTCCTCTCCTGGCCACACACCACAGGGCAGCCTGTGAAGTAGCAACTTTGAATGTCACATCCCAAACCACCAGGAAAGAGCTCCACGAGATGCTGTCAAACACGAAGGTGTTGAGTTCTCACCCTCTGAGGAGCCAGCCCTCCCTCCTCATCCCCAGGACACAAACTTCCACAGACCAAGCAGGCTGAGGTGGTTTCCCCACGTTTATTGGAAAAGTGACAGCCAGAGGCAGCCTCAGAGGGCTCCTCGGGGCGTTTTGAAGTTCATCCCCACCGTGGGCTGCGTCACCTGCAGGTTGGACAGGCTGCCAAAGTCCTGGAAAAAAGAATGGGATTGGTCACACCACCCTGCCCAGCACCCAACCCCACGGGAGGCAGAGGTGGATTCCTCCTGGGAGCAGTGGGAAGCAGGAAGGTGCTGCAGTAGCAGCAAGGGTGCATTCATGTCTCCAGACCCATAGTCACCTGCACTCAGACAGAGTGGACAAGGAGGCCCTCGGGTCAGCACCCTTGGGTGCTGTGGGAGGAGGGGAGGGTGTGGAGCACACCCACCCTGCCCCTCCCAAGAGCCATGTGGGAATTAACCCACTGGCAGGTCCTGGGGCAGAGGGACCCCCCTGCCACCTGCCCAGTGTTGAAGCCATCAGGTGACACCACCAAGCTGGGGCCACTTACCAGGAGCTTCAGCATTTCCTTGGTGTCTGGGTCCACTTCGATGATCTCCTGGTCTAGGGCAGAAACCTGGCAACAAAGAGATGGGCCCAGTTTGACCAGATCCCACAGCCATGTCCCTGCTGCCACCAGGGTGTCCCCACACACCCGTTCCAGTTGCATTCCACCACAAAGAGGATTTTGCTGCCTGTTGTGGGATGGGCTCCCACAGGATGAGCCAGGAGGACACCAACAGAGCCCAGCTCTGCTGGAACAGCAGCAACCCAACAGCAGAGGCCTCCACAGGGGTCAGAGCCTTTTCACAGCAAGCCTTTGGAAGTCCCAGGGCCAGAGCCCAACCACCATGGTGCTGGACAACAATGTCAAGTGACCACCTGGGCTGTCCCACCTCCAGGGCCCAGGGTCTTCTTGCTCCTGAAGCCCAGGGTGACCTCCTCCAGCCCTCTGCAGACCCCAAACCTCCACCTCCACGCCTCCTTCCCTGGAGGCTCTGTCACACCAGTGGTTTTGTACAAAACTGTAAACAATGCAGGTTCAGGTAACACTACACGGCAGCTCCAACAGGAACACTCCTTCCCTGCTCAGGGTCCCTCCAGGATGACCTCTGCCACCAGCATCACCTCATCCTGCCTTTGAAAGGCAGCTGTAAGGTCACTACATGCAAGACATGGTCAGCTGCCTCACCCAGCTCCTCCAAGCCCCCAGGGCCAGCACCCACCATGGGGTGCTGAGGCAGGGATCTGTTGGTGCTCCACACATCACCCCTGGCTGTGGGGGTGTCAAACCAAGCCCTGGACTCTTGTGGGGGGTCCCATCACCTCACCCTGGGATGTGACACTAAGGTGGGGCAGGGAGAACATTCCTGAGGCAGATCTCCAAGAGGGGGGCACAGCAGCTGCCTGCCCACCACAGCTACCATCACATCCCACCATCATACCTGCTCTTCCCACATCATCACTACAACAACCTTCCACATCCCCACAGCCCAGCACTGATCATCTGGGAGAGCAGAGGCAGCAGCACCGAGAGGTTCTGTGCAGCACAGAAACCAGCAGCTCCACCAGAAGCCAACCAGGAAGAAGGACAAGACGCACTGTCTGAAAGCTACAGAGTTGCAAGGCACTGGATGGAACCCACCAAACATGGAGAACACTTCTGGAGCTCCTGTCCCCTCACCATCTGGGTGAGGAATGAGCCCTCACATCCTTGCCAAAGCAAGAGGAGGTTCATCACTCCCTCCCTTCAGCAACATCTTCCGCCTGGCTGGTTTTAAGCTGCTCCCAATACCCTTCTGTATCTCACCAAGTTGTGCTGTTCTTCATTTTAACTGGAAAACTGAGGAGAGATGTCATCTGCTGACTGGCTGCAGGAAGTCAGCTCGTCCTCCCAGCCCATTCTGAGGGAGTGCCCTGAGACGAGGCCAAAATCTGCCTTGGCCCTCCCTGAACCAAACCCACCTCAGCTCCTCCTGGCCAAGGTTCGGGTTTTGGGGCTACCAGTGGAGAAGACACCTTGAGACAGGACAGAGAGATGCTGGAGAGGGAGCAGCAGGAAGCACAGGCAGAGCCTCACCTCGGGGACGTAGTTGTCCCTCCTCTCCCTCTCCTCCTCCTGCAGCTTGATGGAGATGCCTCGGACAGGTCCCCTCTGAATACGCTTCATCAGGTGTGTGACATACCTGCGGGGACACGGGGGACCATCCAGGCATCCTGTATCCTTCATACCCCCACAACTGGAGGAGACGGAGCCCCCGCTGGCAACCTCAGCCACGTCCCAGCACCAGCCCCAGCACCATCCCCCCCCGGGTCGCTCCAGCGCCGGAGC